ACATTTCAACTAGACCATACCATGAAACCTATTCAATATAGAAAGCCATTATCACTAGTAATTAAGAAGCACTTTAAGTATACTTTTTTTTTTTTGAGACAGGGTCTTGCTCTGTCACCCAGCCATGCTGCAATCATGACTTACTGCAGCCTCAACCTCCCGGGCTCAATCGATCCTCCCACCTCAGCCTCCTGGGTAGCTGGGACTACAGGCATGCACCACCATGCCTGGCTAATTTTCGCATGTTTTGTAGAGACGGAGTTTTGCCATGATGCCCAGGCTGGTTTCGAACTCCTGGCCTCAAGCAATCCGTCCACCTCAGCCTTTTAAGTATACATTTAAAAGCAAAACATAAAGGTGTTTAGCTTAGTATTCATAAGTTGACACTCACGTAAAAAAGTGTGAATCGTTAATATTTCAAACAAACATTCTATTCCTATTTCACTTATAAATCAAAAGTTAGATTGGAGGTATACTCTGATTCCATATACCAAATACTGAACATATCACACAAGATTATTATAAAGGTAAATCAGAATTGCCCAGGTTTGGCCATGTTGAAATTGGATATATTAATAACAATGGCTAACAGTTACTGAGCGTCTGTTGTTTGCAAGACCCTATTACTACAGGCATTTATGTATGATTTTTTACAACAATCCTCTGAAGAGTATACTACAATTAAACCTTTTTTTACAAGTAAGAAAATCTGAGGCAAGGAAAAAGTTAAGTTACTTGTACAGGTCATATAACAAGTAGCAAATCTGAAAGCTGAGGTTTAAACACCAAAAGCCTCCCCTCTTCCTTTTTAAATTGAGATATAATTCACGTACTATGAAATTAGCTGCTTTAAAGTGTACAATTCAGTGGTTTTTGGTATACTCACAGTGTGCAACACTCACCACTATCTGATTCCAGAACACTTTCATCAAACCCCCAAAACTCTGTACCCATTAGCAGCCACTCCCTATTGCCCTTCTTCCCAGCCCCTGATGGTCTAACATGATTTCTATCTCTGAATTTGCCTGTTCTGGACATTTTATATAAACAGTACCATACTGTGGCCTTGTATCTGGCTTCTTTCACCACTTGGCATAATGTTTTGAAGGTTCAACCATGTTGTAGCATTTACTAACACTTTATTGCTTCTGATTGCTGCATAACATTCCCTCATATGGATATGTCACATTGTGCTTTTCCACTCATCAGTTGACAGACATTTAGGTTGTTTTCATTTTGGGCTATTAGGAATAACGCTACTATGGACATTCATATACAGCTTTTTGTGAGGACATATTTTTTTCACTTCTGTTGGTTATGTAACTAGGAGTGGAAGAGCCTCCCTTTGTAAACACTATGATTTTCTGCTTCTCTACAAGTGGCACTACTGTGCTCAATATAATTAATTTTAGTGGATTAACCTTATTAATATAGGAAAATCAGTATCATCAATCAATTATTAAGGTCAGTAGAAATATAAACTGCGCTAATAGTATAAAATGGCATGTGTATTTATAGTGGTTTGGAGTACGGGCTTTGGTATCATATGGTTATAAGTTTAAATCCTACCCTGCTACCTTTTGGAAAAGTTAACCACTATGAGCTTCAATATCACCTAAAACTAAGGTTGTTAAAAGAGATAAATGAAAGTTATAATTTGTTGTGTACTTACTATAGCTAGATCCCATACTAAGCACTTTACATACATACATACACACACACATACACTCATTTAACCCTTAAATCTGCAGATAATACTGATAATTTTTCCTATTTTATAGATGAGAAAAGTGAGGTATAGAGAAATCACATAGGAAATGCACAATAAAAGACATTACACACACTCAGGTCCTAAAATTGATCACCCAGTGTTTTTAAAACATTAATCACTAGAATTCTGTAGTACATTTTAACATTTGAAATAGCTAATATTCTTTCTTTCTCAAAACTTTTCTTTTTTGTTTTTTTGAGATGGAGTCTCACCCTGTTGCCCAGGCTGGAGTGCAGTGGCACATGTCGGCTCACTGTAAGCTCCGCCTCCCGGGTTCACGCCATTCTCCTGCCTCAGCCTCCCAAGTAGCTGGGACTACAGGCACCAGCCATCACGTCCGGCTAATTTTTTCTATTTTTTTAGTAAAGACCGGGTTTCACCATGTTAGCCAGGATGGTCTCGATCTCCTGACCTGGTGATCCGCCCACCTTGGCCTCCCAAAGTGCTGGATTACAGGCGTGAGCCACCACGCCTGGCCTCTTTCTCAGAACTTTTAAGGATCATCTGGCAGGACTTCAGTGTTATTTTTCAAAGTTTCTCTCCTCAAGCTGCATCTTCTCCATTAGAAAAAAAAAAGCCATTGAAGTTGGAATATTAAAATATAAAGCTGTGGGTGATTAAATAAAATGGTAACTAGTAGTGGTGGGGCAGGCAGATCAGTGGAGCAGAATATAGTTCAGAAATAGATGCAAACATATGATACTTTCATCATACAATAAAAAATGCATCTCTCGCTGGGTGCGGTGGCTCATGCCTGTAATCTCAGCACTTTGGGAGGCCAAGGCAGGTGGACTACCTGAGGTCAGGAGTTCAAGACCAGCCTGGGCAACACGGAGAAATCCTGTCTCCACAAAAAAAAAAATACAAAAAAATTAGCCAGGTGTGGTGGTGTGCCTATAGTCCCATCTACTTGGAGGCAGAGGTGGAAGATCACTTGAGCCTAGGAGGTCGACGCTGCAATGAGCTGTGATTGTGCTACTGCATTCCAGCCTGGGCAACACAGTGAGACTTTGCTTCAAAAAAAAAATGTGTATATATATACACACACACACATACACACACAATTACTTAGAACTAAGTTTTTAGATTATATTTCTTCAGAAATGCCAGGAACAGGTAGGTGGAAGACAGAAAGACAAAAAACTGGGGGATGGGTGAGATGGAAGGGCACATTCTGGGTTCTGCTTTTTCAAGGAGGGTGGCTCTGAAATGATTTGTTTTACATATTAAGGTTCTGAATATGATCTGTGGGGTGGGGTGTGTATGTTGAAAATTGCTGCTCTGAATAATATGAGATAATATATAAAATACAAATCCCTAGGTTCTCTGATTTTGATACTTAAATGCAATATTTAAGAGACTATATTGGTGATGCATCAGACATGTTTAATATCTATAATATCAGGCAGGTATTTAAAAAAAAATCAAATATTTCCCAATCTTTTTTTTTCTTTTGAGACAGAGTGGCATTTTGTTGCACAGGCTGGAGTACAGTGACACAATCATGGTTCACTGCAGCCTCAACGTCCCTGGGCTCAGGTGATCCTCCCACCTCAGCTTCCTGAGTAGCTGGGACTACAGGTGTGCACCACCATATGTGGCTAATTTTTGTATTTTTTTTAAAGATGGGGCTTCATCATGTTGACCAGGCTGGTCTCAAACTCCTGGCATCAAGCAGTCCGCCTGCCTTGACCTCCCAAAGTGCAGACATTATAGGCGTGAGCCACTTTGCCCAGCCTATTTCTCAATCTTTATGAACCACTTACACCTATCTTCAGAGCTACTTGCACGTAATATTGTTTACTTACTCTCTTTCTTTAAATTAACTCGTTTTTTTTACTGAGCCTCATTATTTCTGTAAAATCACAGATTTGATATGCTTATTGTATTTATACCTATAAGTATTGGAAAAGATGTATTTACAAAATATAAATATTAATGTGTACAACACCCTAAATCATCTTTTGTACCACGAGCCATAGGCATTCTATAATTTGAGGAATATTTCTAATACATAAGGGTTTAAATACATGGTTAAAACCAAAAAGTAGCCTGGGCGCAGTGGCTCACGCCTATAATCCCAGCACTTTGGGAGGCTGAGGCGGGCGGATCACGAGGTCAGGAATTGGAGACCAGCCTGGCCAACATAGTGAAACCCCATCTCTACTAAAAATACAAAAATTAGCTGGGTGTGGTGGCACGCGACTGTAGTCCCAGCTACTCAGGAGAATCACTTGAACCCAGGAGGCGGAGGCTGCAGTGAGCCAAGACTATGCTATCGCACTCCAGCCTGTGTGACGGAGTAAGACTCCGTCTCAAAAAAAAAAAAAAAAAAAAAAAAAAGTAAATCCTAGTCAAAATGGTTTCTACGCTGAGGATATACTTGGGTGATTTTATGAAAATAAATTAATACAACCAAGACTGGTTGGACACAGTGGCTCACGCCTGTAATCCCAACACTTTGGGAGGCTGAGACAGGAAGACTGCTTGAACCTAGGATGTGGAGGTTGCAGTGAGCTGAGAGTGCACCACACTGCACTCTCACTTGGGGAACAGAGGGAGACTCTGTCTCAAAAAAAAAAAAAAAAAAAAAAGAATTCGGTCCAGTCTAGAAAAGTAGCAAAACCAAACAATACATCATGTTTGCATGTTTGCAGGTGTAGTTTTATTTCACAAAAACTAAAATTACACAAAAACTTAAGTCATACTCTCATCACCTTGGTTTTGGTCCTATTGCACTGTGCACCAATTTGAACATAGAATTCAAAAACTGGATATGAAAAGCATTTTTTAAAATTTCCTTACAAATTAAAAAAAACTGAAATCACCTGTGCTCACAGCAATGCTTACACTTTTTCTCATGTGCAAGCCCGGGGAAGACTGTGCTTCCATGGAAACCAACTCCATTTGTCTTCCAGCTTGCACTGTGTCTTCAACGGTGGTTGTCTTAGGGGAACAGGGCGTCAGAGACTGTGCTTCCAACAAACGCTGAATCTGTATCAATTAAAAACATACTTTAAACTGACAGGGAAGTAATCAACAAAACTGGCTGCAGTTTAATAATGAATTACAAAGCACCCTAGTTATAACATTTCAACTAGACCATACCATGAAACCTATTCAATATAGAAAGCCATTATCACTAGTAATTAAGAAGCACTTTAAGTATACTTTTTTTTTTTTGAGACAGGGTCTTGCTCTGTCACCCAGCCATGCTGCAATCATGACTTACTGCAGCCTCAACCTCCCGGGCTCAATCGATCCTCCCACCTCAGCCTCCTGGGTAGCTGGGACTACAGGCATGCACCACCATGCCTGGCTAATTTTCGCATGTTTTGTAGAGACGGAGTTTTGCCATGATGCCCAGGCTGGTTTCGAACTCCTGGCCTCAAGCAATCCGTCCACCTCAGCCTTTTAAGTATACATTTAAAAGCAAAACATAAAGGTGTTTAGCTTAGTATTCATAAGTTGACACTCACGTAAAAAAGTGTGAATCGTTAATATTTCAAACAAACATTCTATTCCTATTTCACTTATAAATCAAAAGTTAGATTGGAGGTATACTCTGATTCCATATACCAAATACTGAACATATCACACAAGATTATTATAAAGGTAAATCAGAATTGCCCAGGTTTGGCCATGTTGAAATTGGATATATTAATAACAATGGCTAACAGTTACTGAGCGTCTGTTGTTTGCAAGACCCTATTACTACAGGCATTTATGTATGATTTTTTACAACAATCCTCTGAAGAGTATACTACAATTAAACCTTTTTTTACAAGTAAGAAAATCTGAGGCAAGGAAAAAGTTAAGTTACTTGTACAGGTCATATAACAAGTAGCAAATCTGAAAGCTGAGGTTTAAACACCAAAAGCCTCCCCTCTTCCTTTTTAAATTGAGATATAATTCACGTACTATGAAATTAGCTGCTTTAAAGTGTACAATTCAGTGGTTTTTGGTATACTCACAGTGTGCAACACTCACCACTATCTGATTCCAGAACACTTTCATCAAACCCCCAAAACTCTGTACCCATTAGCAGCCACTCCCTATTGCCCTTCTTCCCAGCCCCTGATGGTCTAACATGATTTCTATCTCTGAATTTGCCTGTTCTGGACATTTTATATAAACAGTACCATACTGTGGCCTTGTATCTGGCTTCTTTCACCACTTGGCATAATGTTTTGAAGGTTCAACCATGTTGTAGCATTTACTAACACTTTATTGCTTCTGATTGCTGCATAACATTCCCTCATATGGATATGTCACATTGTGCTTTTCCACTCATCAGTTGACAGACATTTAGGTTGTTTTCATTTTGGGCTATTAGGAATAACGCTACTATGGACATTCATATACAGCTTTTTGTGAGGACATATTTTTTTCACTTCTGTTGGTTATGTAACTAGGAGTGGAAGAGCCTCCCTTTGTAAACACTATGATTTTCTGCTTCTCTACAAGTGGCACTACTGTGCTCAATATAATTAATTTTAGTGGATTAACCTTATTAATATAGGAAAATCAGTATCATCAATCAATTATTAAGGTCAGTAGAAATATAAACTGCGCTAATAGTATAAAATGGCATGTGTATTTATAGTGGTTTGGAGTACGGGCTTTGGTATCATATGGTTATAAGTTTAAATCCTACCCTGCTACCTTTTGGAAAAGTTAACCACTATGAGCTTCAATATCACCTAAAACTAAGGTTGTTAAAAGAGATAAATGAAAGTTATAATTTGTTGTGTACTTACTATAGCTAGATCCCATACTAAGCACTTTACATACATACATACACACACACATACACTCATTTAACCCTTAAATCTGCAGATAATACTGATAATTTTTCCTATTTTATAGATGAGAAAAGTGAGGTATAGAGAAATCACATAGGAAATGCACAATAAAAGACATTACACACACTCAGGTCCTAAAATTGATCACCCAGTGTTTTTAAAACATTAATCACTAGAATTCTGTAGTACATTTTAACATTTGAAATAGCTAATATTCTTTCTTTCTCAAAACTTTTCTTTTTTGTTTTTTTGAGATGGAGTCTCACCCTGTTGCCCAGGCTGGAGTGCAGTGGCACATGTCGGCTCACTGTAAGCTCCGCCTCCCGGGTTCACGCCATTCTCCTGCCTCAGCCTCCCAAGTAGCTGGGACTACAGGCACCAGCCATCACGTCCGGCTAATTTTTTCTATTTTTTTAGTAAAGACCGGGTTTCACCATGTTAGCCAGGATGGTCTCGATCTCCTGACCTGGTGATCCGCCCACCTTGGCCTCCCAAAGTGCTGGATTACAGGCGTGAGCCACCACGCCTGGCCTCTTTCTCAGAACTTTTAAGGATCATCTGGCAGGACTTCAGTGTTATTTTTCAAAGTTTCTCTCCTCAAGCTGCATCTTCTCCATTAGAAAAAAAAAAGCCATTGAAGTTGGAATATTAAAATATAAAGCTGTGGGTGATTAAATAAAATGGTAACTAGTAGTGGTGGGGCAGGCAGATCAGTGGAGCAGAATATAGTTCAGAAATAGATGCAAACATATGATACTTTCATCATACAATAAAAAATGCATCTCTCGCTGGGTGCGGTGGCTCATGCCTGTAATCTCAGCACTTTGGGAGGCCAAGGCAGGTGGACTACCTGAGGTCAGGAGTTCAAGACCAGTCTAGCCAACATGGTGAAACCCTGTCTCTACCAAAAACACAAAAATTAGCTGGGCGTGGGGGCGCATGGCTGCAATCCCAGCTACTCAGGTGGTAAAGGCAAGAGAAGCACTTGCACCCAGGAGGCGGAGGTTGCAGTGAACCCAGATCACACCAGTGCCCTCCAGCCTGGGCGACAGAGCAAGACCCTGTCTCAACAACAACAACAAAAAGCATCTCTAAATCATTCATACAAAGATATGTATTTACTAAATAAATATATGAGGCCAGTCATCTGATTAAAAAAAAAAAAACTTACTAAATAAAAAAGAAGCAACAAATATAATCCTGGAGGGAGAGGGAGAATTTCTTAAAAAGATTTTTTTGCCAGGTGCAGTGGCTCACGCCTGTAATCCCAGCACTTTGGGAGGCTGAAGCGGGCGGATCACGAGGTCAGGAGATTGAGACCATCCTGGCCAACACGGTGAAACCCTGTCTCTACTAAAAATACAAAAAATTAGCCAGGTGTGGTGGCGGGCGCCTGTGGTCCCAGCTACTCGGGAGGCTGAGGCAGGAGAATAGAGTGAACCCGGGAGGTGGAGCTTGCAGTTAGCCGAGATTGCACCATTGCACTCCAGCTTGGGCAACACAGCGAGACTCCATCTCAAAAATAAATAAATAAATAAAATATATATATTTTTTGAGACAGGATCTCACTCTGTTGCCTAGGCCAGAGTACAGTGGCACGGTCTTGGCTCACTGCAGCCTCAGCTTCCTGGGCTCAAGCAATCCTCCTGCTTCAGTCTCCCAAGGAGCTGGGATTACAGGTGCACAACACCATGGTCAGTTATTTTTTTATTTTTAATTTTTTGTAGAGATGGAGTCTCACTATGTTGCCCTGGCTGGTCTCATATTCCTGGGCTCAAGTGATCCAACCACCTTGGCCTTCCAAAGTTCTGGGATTACAGGCATGAGCCACTGTGCCCAGCCGAGAATAAATTTTTTATAATCTTGAAAGGAAGAAGGCTTTTCTAAACATAAAACCCAGAAAGAGAATGACTGATACTTTTTTTTTTTTTTTTTGAGACAGAGTCTCGCTCTGTCGTCCAGGCTGGAGTGTAGTGGTGCAATCTCAGCTCACTGCAACTTCCGCCTCCCAGGTTCAAGCTATTCTCCTGCCTCAGCCTCCTGAGTAGTGGGATTATAGGCGCTCGCTACTACGCCCAGGTAAATTTTGTATTTTTAGTAGAGACGGGGTTTCACCATTTTGACCAGGCTGGTCTCAAACTCCTGACCTCAGGTGATCCAACTGCCTCAGCCTCCCAAAGTGCTGAGACTACAGGTGTGAGCCACAGCACCTGGCCTACATTATTTAACTGTATCTAAACTGGAATATTCTATACAAAACAAATAGTTAAAATGCAAAACACTTAAGACTAAGAAATACCACATACATATACATATATATGATAAAGGACCAATTTCCTTCATATACAATGAACTCTTATAAATAATAAAATAATCAATTACATATTCTTTTTTTTTTTTGAGACGAGTCCCGCTTCGTCGCCCAGGCCTGGAGTGGCATGCCGGATCCAGCTGCCCAAGCCTCCGCCTCGGTTACCCATTCCCTGCCTCAGCCTCCCGATAGCTGGCACTACAGCCGCTCCAACCTCGCCGGGTTAGTTTTTGGGTATTTATAGAACAGGTTCACCAGCATAGCCCCAGGATGATCTCGATCTCCTGACCTCGTGACGCCCTCCCGGGGCCTGCCAAAAATGTATGGATTACAGCTGAGCCACCGCGCCCGCCCCATAAAATGGTTAATAAATGGTAAATTAAAACAACCTCTAGCCAGGTTAATTGGTGGCAACACCTATAATCATAGCAACTCTGGAGGCCAAGGCGGTGGATCACCTGAGGGCAGATTCGAGAACCAGCTGGATAACAATGGTGAAACCCCTGTCTCTATTAAAAATACAAAAATTAACCAAGTGTGGTGGTGGGTGCCCATAATCCCAGCTACTGGGGAGGCTGAGGCAGGAGAATCACTTGAATCCCGGGGGGCAGGTGGTGGTTGCAGTGAGTGCAGACTGCGCCATATCACTCCAGCCTGGGTGAAAGAGTGAAACTCTAACTCAAAAACAAAAAAACAAAAAAAAAAAACACCTTCTAAGACTGGTAATAATTTAAGTTTGCCTAATGTTGGAGATGTGGATGTGGAAAAATGGTTTGGGTATATTAGATTGGTATAATCCGGCATCATTCATCTCATCTAGAAAAATAAATAAATAAATAGATATAGCCTTTCCAGCAGCCATTTTCACTCATTCAGGTAACAAACTATGTATTAAGCAACAATTACACGTCAAGTACTATTCAAGGTGCTAAGAAAACAGTAATGAATGTGAGCTCCTTCCCTGGAGCTGACTTTCTATCACAAATAGAACAGAAAAACGTGATTAAGGACCTGAATGATGAGAAGGAAATAGCCATTAGAAGGGCCCCAGGAGGATTATTTCAGGCAAAGGGAACCAAAAGCTGAAGAACCTAAAGTATAAACATGTTCTGGCATTTTTAAAGAATAAAAAGTTAAAGAAAAAAGCACTAGTGCATAGCTAAAGGGTAGTGAACACAGAAGGCAGTGATAAGAGATGAGTTTGCAGAGAAAGACAAGCCAAGTCACAAAGGGCTTTAAGGGCCAAAGTAAAGCATCTAGATTTTATTCAAATTGCAACGGAAATCCACTGGAGGATTTTAAGCAAGAGTGCTACAATCTTACCTGGGCTTTAAAGATGGTGTGGGAAAAACAAACAAAGATGGTGTGGTGTTTCCAAGTATAGAGAACATGAGGGGATAGTACTGGATGGAAGTGGTATGTAAGGGTGTCATCAGACAGTGGTTTGAATTAGGTTAGTAGTGGGAAAGATAGTAAAGAGTAGTTAAGTTCAGGATATATCCACAAAGTAGAGCTGGGTTTGTGACTCCTGAGAATTTTCCCTGAGTGACGAGATGAGAGGTGATACCATTAACTAAGATAATAATAATGTAATAATAGTAATAGTTAACATATATTGAGTACTAACTATATGTCAGCAATACTTTACACCTTTATCTGGTAACTCATTCAAATCCTTAGAACTCCATACAACTTTGCCATATATGTTAAACAACTGAAAAAAATAAATTTAAAAAAAAAGAACTCGATACAACTTATGTATATCCCTATTTTGTATGTGAGAAAACTGAAGTCAATGAGGTAAGGTAACTTGTCCAAGATCATATAACTTACACTACCCACAAACTAGATTAGAATCCAAGGAGTCTGGTACCATAGCCCACTCTCTTAACCCTTATACCAAAATGAGATTTGCAATACTAGAACAGGAACAAATTTGGGTATCTTTGAACATTTAAAATGTTTATGCCCTTTGGCTTCACAGTTTTACTTCTAGATACTTGCACATAGGTAGTAAGATGCAAATATAGGAATGTTCAGTGCTGAACTGTTTGCAATAGCAGAAGCTTTAAATGGTTGAAATAATAGGAGAACAATTAGAAAATGTATTATATATCATTATAATAGAAACCCATGCAGGGTAAGGGAGTTCGATATATACTTATACAGAAAATGTATAAGATACTTTTAAAAAAGCAGTACCTAACAAAAATGTAAGTTCATATATATATATATATATTAGGAAAATACTATGTGTATTTACACACAGAAGCATTTTCCATATATTTCATATTTTCTAAATATGATGATTCAGATAGTCTAGACCAGGGCCTGTGATCTGTAATATTACATTTTAAGTATACAAATTCCAAGTAACTAAGATTTCTAAATAGCATAATGGGTCCTTTTAGCCTCTGATTAGCCTTTTTTTGGACACGACAGGAAATAAGTGACAAATAATTATTTTCAACGTAAAAATATTTAGGTATATTCAAATTTTTGCTAAGTGTTTATAATGTTAAAATCCAATTTATATTTTACATTATCTGGGAGTGGTGACTCACACCTATAATCCCAGCACTCTGGGAGGTCAAAGCAGAAAGATCACTTGAGCCAAGGAGTTCAAGACCAGTCTGGGCAATATAGTAAGACCTCTTCTCTAAAAAAAAAAATTAAAATTAAAAAAAAATTATACTTTACAATTTCAAATTTACCTACGTTTAAAAAAACAGCAGAGCTAAATTCTTCTCAGGTGTTCCTATCCAAAGCGTTTTCACTGATTTGAAAAATGTCATTGTCTTTTTTTTTGATAAAATGCAATTTTATCAAATTTTATGAAACAAAGATTTTTTTAAAAATCATATATGGCTGGGCGCGGTGGCTCAAGCCTGTAATCCCAGCACTTTGGGAGGCCAAGGCAGGTGGGTCATGAGGTCAGATGATCGAGACCATCCTGGCTAACATGGTGAAACCCCCTCTTTACTAAAAATATAAAACATTAGCCGGGCGTGGTAGCAGGCCCCTGTAGTCCCAGTTACTCGGGAGGCTGAGGCAGGAGAATGGCGTGAACCCCAGAAGTGGAGCTTGCAGCGAGCCAAGATTGCGCCACTGCACTCCAGCCTGGGCGACAGCACGAGACTTCATCCAAAAAATAAATAAATAAATAAAATCATATGTATATATGCACATTATACATGTATTTGCATAGTTATAGGAGCAAGAAAAAAATTAAAACTACATTTCAGGTTGTTCCCACTGGTGCTGGGGAGAAAGAAAAGAACAACTGTTTTGGGGTAGGTATGTGGAAGAAGGACGTCAGTGAGGAAAGAAGAGAAAAAGACAACACTTACACACTAAACACTGTGCAAGGATATAATTAAGACAAAGAACTCCGTGGAGACTAGCCTGACCAAGATGGCAAAACCCCATCTCTACTAAAAATACAAAAACTAGCCAGGCATGGTGGCGCGTGCCTGTAATCCCAGCTCCTAGTGGGGCTGAGGCAGGAGGATCGCTTGAACCTGGGAGGCAGAGGTTGCAGTGAGCTGAGATCATGCCACTGCACTCCAGCCTGGGCAACAGAAGAGACTCTGTCTCAAAAAAAAAAAAAAAAAAAAGACTAAGAACTCTGCAAGAGAGGTTCTGAAGAAAGGGAACGTTTCAGAATACAAGAAGTAGAGTAAGTCCAGTATAGATATACAGAAAGGTTCCAACTATTTGTTTAAGGGCAGACTGGCTAAGCGTTATATAGGGTTGACAAACTAGAGATGAAGCAGAAGCCACTGTCCAGACTTTATATTCAGCTGTATATAAAGGTTTAATCATAAGAGACTTTTCATTAGAGGCAAAAAATAAAAGAAAAATACAATTCTATTGTAGGTTAGGATATGCATAAGATGGTTCTACTACTAACTAGCAATGTGGCATTGGGTTAAATTATTCTCTCTAATCCTCATTTTACTTACCTGTAAAACAAGAGAGCCTAGAATTCAGTTCCAAGGTCCTTTCTAATTCTGACATTCTATAATTCTATAAAACATCATTATGGAGGAGAGATGCCAGTTTTTAAGAAATCATAATACCAATAATTTAATAGAACTAGGAAAGCACCAAGCAAACCTGTGCCTGAAGTAGTCTCAGCTGTCTGTCTTGTTCTGTGAGAAACCGATATGCATCAGGAGATAGTCCCATCATTCCATTATCTGATTCAGTCTTGGGTGTGTGCATGCACACTGTGCAAAGCTGTGAGTTACATGAGTCCATATGTGAAGGTAGTCTTGCCACGGGCGATGGTTCTATATTGCTGTGGGGAGAACAACTGTCCATACCTCCCTGAGGTCTCAAGGTTATAGGACTACCTGAAGAACAGAATGCATTACAGTTCAGAGCTGGACATTCACTTGGGTGAAATAATGAATGCTTTTGAAGGGCTCCAGACTGGACATCTTGAATGGATCCAACTGTGTTTGCTCCTTGCCAAGAATTTAGCGGACTATATTGAATATGACTATGATGCTGACAACACCTGCAAACGCTTGTGGAACAGTAAGATGGCGGTGGGGGAGTAGGTATCTGAAGTTCCATTGGTCTTCCTGAATTATGGGGTGAAAAAACAAAATTGGGTGGTTGGGACTGCGGGGCAAGAGAAGACTGTCTAGAATTAAGTTTGGAGGGTCTTATAGGATACTCTTCATTTTGTACATTTCCAGCAGAAACTGTTTGGAGCTTTTCAAATATATCAGGAGATGTTCCATTATGAGAAGATGGTTTAACAGTGTTCCTACTATGGGGGTTCCCTTTCTTACAGGCAGGTGGCTGTCTTACTTTGCACTGTCTCAAAAGAGCTGGTTTATCCTGGTTTAACTGATTTGGTATTCCTCTCAAGGAAGGCTTTCCAGCTTCAACTTCTGGACTGTGTTTCTCATCATAAAGCTGGGGTTGCAAAGGCTTCAAGTGTTCTGAGTGGTTAATCAAAGGAGGATTTTCATTATTCACCATTTCCAATGGAGTAGGCAGAGGGTTTGATTCTACGAAATTGCCATCCAACACAAGTGAAAGTTCAGGAACTGATGGTTGGATCTTAGAAATCTACAAATAAGAAAGAAATAGAAAAAAAAGGTTTTAGGAGAAAATGTATACTTTACTTTCCTCAGACCAGTATTTCCCAAATTATATCTAATTACATATTAACAAGTGTTCATTCTTTATTTAGACCATCAGCAATTTTTTTCTGGGCATGTTTTATGTGCTAAGCACTAGGAATACAATTGTAAGCAAAATAAACAAGGTCCTTGCCCTAAAAGAACAAAACTAAACACTTCCCAAACTTACTTAATGGAACTCTTTTTATTAAAACACTAACACTGCTAAGATCACAGAACATAATATGAGAAACTGTTTTATACAACTTTTTAAATCCTCTCTACAAAAAATTGTCACAGCAGAATGTCTTCACAGATCTAGTAGCAAATGTTTATGTACCTTAAATAGTAAAATCTTCCAATAAATATGTCAGAATATTTCTCCACTAAGAAGTCACTCACTGTTATCCCTTCTATTGATATCAATTAAGAGTAAACAAAATACTCGCTGTGATGATTTTGGTTATAATTTGATATTAACTTTAAAAAATCCTTCCCATTACTTTTTCTTCTAAAATAAGTAATTACACCAATTAAACAACAATTCTAAAATAACCCACAGGTTGGTAGCAATCAAAAAATTATGACAAGAATTTTAGCAATTAACCTCTGAAATCAAGTATAATGTTTTCTCAGAATATAGTGATAAAATCCAACGTCAAGCTCTAGTGATAGTATACAATGTTGAGTCTATATGGTTATTAAAAGCACCAGATTCTAAAACCAAACCTCCTGAATTAGAATCCCAGCTTTACTATTTACTAGTTGTGTGATCTTGGGTAGGCAACTTAACTAATCTATGTCTCAGTTTACTCTAGGAAGAAATACATGCTTATTACATAGATATTACACATATGTATATATCATTACATATAACATGAATTATTATATATAACTGTGAAATACTTATATCTCTCTATATAGATATAACCATAGAGACAGAAATAGCTAGATATATCTAAGAATGATACTTAGGTTTCAGGTAGTATTATTTAGTGTTTTAACCATGAAGAGACTTAGGTCTCTAACCACAAAAGTGAATGCATTTTAAAATCAGTAATACCTTCTGACTCACTGGATGAGGACTAGGAATTGGTCTTGGAGAAAAATCTTCATCTTCAACACCAGAGTTGTGATCACGTATTGGCATTTTCCCAGGAGATAACTTTTGGGAAGACCTAAAGAATAGAAGGGGAGACCAGAAAAGCCTTCGGTAATCCAGTATTCTTTCTTCTTCTAAAAATTGAATAAAGTCCTTTAATAAGTTGCAGTAGTACTCAGATCATTTAATTTAGTATCTGACAACCAGAAATTATTTTATATTTCAGGCCAGTGTTAGTTGACTAGGGAAGCTGGCCCAGCCAGCCTTAATAAACTATCCTATTTACCTGATTATGGCAAGTTTAACCTTGTATTGTTAATGTCACAATAAATCAAGTCACTGGGCACCCTCTAGTTGATCACTTTGATAAATATAGAAACAAATAAGACATAGTACTTGCTGTCAAAAAATTTATAATCTAGTATTAAAGGTATTAAACACACTATATTACAAACCCTCTGTATTACAAAGGAAAACCAAATAAGGAATTATATTTTCCTATGTACTTATATCTGTGATGGGAAAATACTTTGAGAAATCAATGTACTACCCTCCCATTGAGTCAGGAATACTCATTGTATCACAGATGGCATGCCCTGGCAAAACAAAAAGTTTCTGAGTGCTGGTACCGAGTTTTAAAAGCTGAAATTAGTGTTTAAGACTAAAGATTTGGAATACTATATGCATCAGGCTTTTTCACATCCTACACTAGACAAAGTCTCAATAGGATGCGTTAGGGAAAAGAAAAGCCAGAATGAAGCTAACAGCACTCAGGATTAATGGGATCTCTAAAAAAGCATCCTGCATTCTGTTTCATACAAGTTGAATCCTACCTAGCAGGAAGAACAACAGAAACTCCAAGGCAGATTTGAAAATCAAACAGCAGAAGAGACCTTTTGCCCTAAACTCTGATTGTCTGAAGAGGCAGATCTTCACAGAGTTCTTTCTGTACAAGGTATTACAATGAAGCAGTCAGAATGTCTGCATGATTATGTCTAAGCAGAAATGTGTCTCCGACAGCCCCACAAAGCTCTTCTCCGACACCCAAGACAGCTTGAGATATATAATGATATTCCAAAGCGCTCAGTGCAGCATGGACAGGAAACAAGAAATCCAGTGGCCTGAATAGGGTCAAAAGTTGCAGCAGGAACTTGCACAAATCTGACAAAGACCAGATGCAAATGAAAACACCTCAGCAGATTGTAGCCAGATGGATGAGAATCATGTCACCCCATATCACCAGTACTGGCATACCACTGGTCCCCTCTATATTACATATAACCCCAGAGACAAGGAAATAAAGAAACCTTAAATTAGGTGAAATTTGGTGTCTATAATCCAGTAGAATAAATAGGGGCTTAAAATAGATACTAATTTCAATTACTAATTTTATTAAGTTACATTCTTTTGTACACCTGAGTTGTGGCATGGAATTAATATCTGTTTTGTACTTAACATGAGCACACACACAAAACTGTTGACACTGAGCAATAAAATCCATTTCTTAGCTTTTTTTTTTGCAGGGGATTGGGGGCGGGGTGGATACCGTCTCGCTCTGTCACTCAAGGCTGGAGTACAGTGCCACGACTTCAGCTCACAGCAACCTGCGCCTCCAAAGTTCAAGGATTCTTGAGCCTCAGCGTCCCAGTAGCTCGGACTACAGGCACGTGCCAGTATGCCCAACTAATTTTTGTATTTTTAGTAGACACGGGGTTTCACCACATTGGTCAGGATGGTCTCAAACTCCTGACCTCAGGTGATCCACCCACTCTGCCTCCCAAAGCGCTGGGATTACAAGCGTGAGCCACTGTGCCTGGCCTCATTTCTTAGCTTTTTTAGTACCCAAGGCAAAAAGGAAAAACTTCAGGTTGTATAGTTATAACAACAGTATTTTAGGAGAGACAAACATTTTGATAAAATTTAAAATGACTGTTCCTCATTAAAGCTTTGGCCAGAGTGGAAAATAAACAAGGTTTTTTAACGTTATTTTTTTTGAGGCAGGGTTTCACTCTATTACTTAGGCTGGAGAGCAGTTGGCGTAGCATGATCATGGCTCGCCACCTTGACTTCTTGAGCCCAAGTGATCCTCCCACCTCAGCCTCCTAAGTAGCTTTTAATAATAATCTTAAAGAAAGTGCTATTGTCTCCTTAGTTTGGCTACTTCTTCCATAATTATTCAATAAATGTTGAATAAGGTCTTACAATTTAAGACAGCAAAGATGTTCCTGGCTGGGTGAGGTGGCTCAAGCCTGTTATCCTAGCACTTTGGGGGTCCAAGGGGGGTGGATCATTTGAGGTCAGGAGCTTGAGGCCAGCCTGGCTGGCCAACGTGGTGAAAACCCATCTTCACTAAAAATACAAAAATTAGCCAGGCGTGGTGATGCACACCTGTAATCCCAGCTACTCGGGAGGCTGAGGCACGAGAATTCCTTGAACCTGTGAGGTGGAGGTTGCAGTGAGCTGAGATCACACCACTGCACTCCAGCCTGGGCAACAGAGTGAGACCCTATCTCAAAAAAAAAAAAAAAAAAAAAAAAAAAAGATAAAGACTGATTTCCTGGAGGGAAAAGGAATTCTTCTGCCAGCAGACTGCCTTTAGACTGAAACTGCAATTCTTCCCTGGGTGTCCACCCTACCAGCCTACCTGTAGACATTTTTTGTTTGTTTTTGTTTTTTCTTTGAGACAGGGTCTCATTTTGTCACCCAGGCTGCAGTGCAGTGCCACGAACATGGCTCACTGAAGCTTTGACTTCCTGGGCAAATGATCCTCCCACCTCAGCCCTACAAGTAGCTGGGACTACAGGCATGTGCCACCACACCCAGCTAATTTCTGTACTTCTTTTTTGTTCTTGTAGAGGCAGGGTTTCGCCACATTGCCCAGGCTGGTCTCGAACTCCTGAGCTCAAGCAATCCTCCTGCCTCAGCCTCCCAAAGTACTGGGATTAAAGGGGTGAGCCACTGTGCTTAGCCCCTACCTGTAGACTTTGGATATGCCAAACCTTCACAAATACAGAAGTCAGTTCCTTAAAACAAATATCTCTACATACACACATCTTGTTGTTTCTGTTAATGTGGAGAACCCTAATACAAGATAGTATCTTTTTTTTTTTTTTTTTGAGATGGAGTCTCACTGTGTCACCCAGGATGTAGTGTAGTGGCATGCTCTCACCTCACTACAACCTGTGCCTCTTGGGTTCAAGCGATTCTCTTGCTTCAGCCTCCTGGGTAGCTGGGATTACAGTGATGCACCACCAGGCCTGGCTAATTTTTGTATTTTTAGTAGAGACGGGGTTTCACAACATTGGCCAGGCTGGTCTCGAACTCCTGACCTCAGGTGATCTGCCTGCCTCTGCCTCCCAAAGTGCTGGATTACAGGCATGAGCCACCAGGCCCGGCCAGGAATGTCTTCTTTTTTATTTTTTATTTTTTTTTTGAGACGGAGTCTCGCTCTGTCACCCAGGCTGGAGTGCAGTGGCGCGATCTCGGCTCACTGCAAGCTCCACCTCCCG